TGAAAATTGTAGTTTACAGGTCCCATATGGGTTGTGAAATTTACATGCTATTGTCCATGTTCTTAGAATATTACAGATCAGCTACATCCTATTGAAGGCTCGTAGCTTTGTTTTGAGAAATATTAGTTGTTCTTAGTAAATTATAATAAGCACTATAAATTATTACATAGAATAACAGTCCGTCACCAATCAATATTATATACCATAGTTTGCGCTTTAAAAATCTTTAAAGAATATTTTGTAGCAAAGCTAACAGAAAACGATGTTATGTTGGAATGTTTATGGGGTAAACTGCTGCAAACAGGATGGTATTGTGTCTACTATACCAACTATATGAGGGGTATAGGGTCCACTACCACCTGTTAGGTGGGTAAGGGGTCCAATACCACCCGCAGGATGGGTATGGGGGTCACATCCACTCACAGGATGGGTATGGGGTTCACAACCACCCACAGGATGGGTATGGGGTCCAATACCACCCACAGGATGAGTATGGTGTCCACTATCACCCACAGGATGGGTATGGGGCTCACAACCACACACAGGATGGGTATGGGGTCCAATACCACCCACAGGATGAGTATGGTGTCCACTATCACCCACAGGATGGGTATGGGGCTCCAACCACCCACAGAATAAGTATAGAGTCCAATAACACCCACTGGATGTGTATGGCGTCCATTGCCGCCCACAGCATGAGTATTGGGTCCAGTATCGCCCACAGGATTAGTATATAGGGTCCACTGCCGCCCACAGGGTCGGTAAAGGGTTCACTACCGCCCACAGGGTCGGTATGGGGTCCACTACCACCCACAGGGTCGGTATGGAGTCCACTGCCACCCACAGGGTTGGTATGGGGTCCACTACCGCCCACAGGGTCGGTAGGGCGTCCACTACCGTCCACAGGGTCGGTAGGGGTCAACTACCGCCCACAGAGTTGGTAGGGGGGTCCACTGCCGCCCATAGGGTCGGTAGGGGGTCCACTACCACCCACAGGGTTGCTATGAAGTCAACTACCGCCCATAGTGTTTGTAGTGTCCACTACCGCCCATAGTGTTATTATGGGGTCCACTACCCCTCATAGTGTCGGTATGGGGGTCCATTACTACCCACAGGGTGTGTCTGGAGTCTATTTTTTTTCTGTATAGCAGAGGTGGCAATACTGCTTTTCCAATCTCATTTGTTGTTCAATGTAAAATATTTGTTGCTCGACTTGCAACAATTTATATATATGTATATATATATATATATATATATATATATATATATATATATATATATATATATATATATATATATATATATATATATATATATATATATAGGTTACGTTAGGTAGCCGAAAAAGTTATGTTCGGTTAGGTTAGGTAGGTTAGGTAGTCGAAAAAACATTAATTCATTAAAACTTGGCTTATTAGGTAAATCGGGCCTTGCATAGTAGGCTGAGAAGTGCGTTCTGGCTACTAGGTACGACATATATATATATATATATATATATATATATATATATATATATATATATATATATATATATATATATATATATATATATATATATATATATATATATATATATATATATATATATATTATAATATGACCGAAAAAGTAAGATTAATGATTCTAACACGAATTTTCTCGATCTATATAGTTGTGCATTAATTGGCTGTTGATTGCTGATGTTGACTTTTTAATGTGTAGTGCCTCGCAAACGTCAAGCCGCCTGCTATCGTTGTATCTATCGATGATTTCTGTGTTGTTTACTAGGATTTCTCTGGCGATGGTTTGGTTGTGGGAAGAGATTATATGTTCCTTAATGGAACCCTGTTGCTTATGCATTGTTAAACGCCTAGAAAGAGATGTTGTTGTCTTGCCTATATACTGGGTTTTTTGGAGCTTACAGTCCCCAAGTGGGCATTTGAAGGCATAGACGACGTTGGTCTCTTTTAAAGCGTTCTGCTTTGTGTCTGGAGAGTATTCTCCAGACACAAAGCAGTATTTTCTGCTTGTATGTGTGTATTTTCATAACCCCTGTTAAATTCTTGAAAAATATATAACTACATAGTGAATGCAAGTCAATGTATATTTATTTATTTATTTATATACAAGAAGGTACATTGGGTTAGAGAGAATACATAGCATAGTATTTGCACTCTTGTAAAGAAACTAGTACGCGCAGCGTTTCGGGCAGGTCCTTAATCTTACAGATAATTTTAAGTAGGTAAATTCTAGCAGACTTAATAAAATGATAACAGATACATTGCAAGAAAAAAAAATGAAATGAGAGAGAATAGTAAGTATATTAAAGCACATTGGTTTATTAAAGCTCTGGTTGATTACATTGACAACTTGATTGGTAATTTAAACAAGATTAACAGACACCGTACAACAGATTGATAGCACATATAAGAAGACAGCAATGATCACAATGGTAAAGGTGTTCGGATTGTGTACATAAAGATAGAGAGATTGGGTAGCATTAGATACAGTGCAATTTCAAAGCAACAAGGTAAAAAAAACTATGCAGATGAGATTAGGTACTTTTTAGTTTTGTTTTTGAATGACGCAAAAGTTGGACAGCTTTTCAATTCATTAGGGAGTGAGTTCCATAGACTGGGTCCGTTTATTTGCATAGAGTGTTTACACAGATTAAGTTTGACTCTGGGGATATCAAAGATATTTATTTCTGGTGTAGTGATAATGGGTCCTATTACATCTGTCCAGCGAAAGTTTCAGAGCAGGATTTGCGTTTAAGAACAGGGTTTATAAATGTAGTTGACACAAGAAAATTTGTGGAGTGAAATTATGTTTAGCATGTTAAGGGAGTTAAACAAGGGGGCTGAGTGTTGTCTGAAAGCAGAATTTGTTATTATTCTGAAAGAAGATTTTGGCTGGGTGATGATGGACTTGAGGTAGTTTGCAGTGGTTGTACCCCATGCACATATACCATAATTAAGATAGGGATAGATTAGTGCACAATATAGAGAGATGAGAGCAGAGTTAGGTACATAATATCTGATTTTGGAGAGTATCCCAACTGTTTTAGAGACTTTCTTAGTTATGTGTTGTATGTGGGTACTGAAGTTGAGTCTCTTGTCTAGGAATAGGCCGAGAAACTTTCCATCATTTTTATTGCTAATGTTTACATTGTCTATCTGAAGCTGAATTGCATTTGTAGATTTGCTTCCAAATAATATGTAGTAGGTATTTTCTATGTTAAGTGTTAGTTTATTGGTTGACATCCATAAGTAGACTTTTTTTTAGTTCATATATTAACATTTAGTTAATATATAGTTCATATATTATCATTTAGTGTATGTGGGTTGGGGTTAGAGTAGATGAGGGTAGTGTCATCAGCAAACAAAATAGGTTTCAGAATGTTAGAGACATTAGGCAGATCATTGATGTATATAAGAAATAGGGGGTTCCAATCCCACTCTACCAATAACTCCAACAGTTATTGGCAGAGTGGGAGAGGTTATATTATTGATGGTTACACATTGGAGTCTGTCACTAAGATAGGATTGGATATAGTCCAGTGCATGGCCTTGGATTCCATAATGATGGAACATATGTTCCGAACCATAATGGAAACAGACCCAACTATAGGATGGGTTAACCCAAGTATCGCGTTTCCAAAAGGGTCGCCCATGTTGGAAAAGACGAACGCCGAAAGAATATTGTTGAAAACATCTTGATGACTTATTAAACCAAAATTATTTATTAGTCAGTAGAAAGACAAAAACGCGATCTATATGTAAAACCTCTACCAGACAAATATTTTAAGTAAAACCGAAGATATTTGTAGTTTTATAAAAGGGGCAGTTTTCATTGCTTGTCGAGCTCGAAAACCGCAGCATTCATCTCAGAACCATGCTTATTTCACACAGATTCCTTAATAAACGTAAGAGTTTTATATGTCACAAGAATGATATAAATATAAGCTTCATTCTCTATACCTTACCATGGGCATATTTAAATTTAAAGCGAAGATACGTGTACTTTTATAATAGCCGAGCTTTGACCCCGGACAGATCGATCGACCGAGCAACTCTCTCTCAGAACAATGTTTATTTCACGTGAATTCGTTAATAAACATATATGTTTTATATGTCTCAAGAAAGGCAGACATATAAGCTTCACTTTAAACACTTTACCATAGACATATTTAAAGTTCTAATGAAGATACATGTATTTTAAAAATTACGGAGCTCCCACCCCGTACAGACTGAACGACAGAGCAACTCTCTCTCAGATCAATGTTTATTTCACGTAAATTCGTTAATAAACACAAATGTTTTATATGTCTTAAGCAAGATAGAAATAAGAGCTTCATTTTAAATACATTACAATAGACATATTTATAGCTCAAGTGAAGAAGGTGCGAAAAAATCATTGACGCAGGACAAGGGTCGACCAACATCCTGGGTAATCCCAGACGTGCATCTTAACCCATGGACCATGACAAGCTGAAGATTATGTAACCTGGGATCCATTTAGATCCACACGAGTCTGGAGGGTAACGGCTCGATGTCTCCAGACTCTTGGTGGATCTGGGTAGATGCCATGGTAATATAATCTTTAGCATATTGTGGTCCATGGCTTAAGGTGTACATCTGGGATTACCCAGAGTGCTGGCCAATCCTTGTCCTGCTACAATGATTCTCTCGCACACCAAAAGTCTTGCTGATTGAACAATGATTGAACCCATCTCCCCTCATTCCGCCCTCCCCATCCCCCCCTTCATTTCTTTCTCCCCATTCCCCCTCATTTCTCCCTCCCCATTCCTCCCTCCACCCCCCTCTCCCTCCACATTCCTTCCTCCCTCCTACCATCCTTCTTCTCTCCTGTCATCCCTCTCCCTCACCCCTTCCTTCCCTCCTGTTCTGGATAGGATCTATTTCAGAAGTGTCCTGATGGGTTCCCTGAAATACACAATTAATGATCAGCATACACATAAAAGTACATATTTGTAATTTATTGTGTATTATATCTTACAGTATTGATGTGATCCCAGAGGAAGGTGGCACAAATATTGAACTGATAAGTGGTGGCCGCAATGTGGAAGTAACGACTGGGAACGTCTATGACTATGTACGTAAGTATGCAGAGTATCGCATGGCTAAATCTCAGGAGAAGGCTTTGCAGGTAAGCGTAAATTAATAGTACGGTAAATGTATTATGATCGTTTAAAAATAAGGTCATAGCTCTGGTCTTAAAGATACAATTACCTGTCCAACCACTTGGGCCGGACGGTAGAGCGACGGTCTCACTTCGTGCAAATCTGCGTTCAATCCCCGACCGTCCAAGTTGTTGGGTACCATTTCTTTCCCCCGTTCCATCCCTAATCCTTATCCTGATCCCTTCCCAGTGCTATGTAGTGGTAATGGCTTGGTACTTTTTCCTGATAGTTCCCTGTGTTGATACAGAGTGCTAGGATGAGGGGAAACAAGAAGTGAAATGTGCAGTGCATTTTTTCTTAAATGCATTCAGCAAATGATGACAAAGTTAATCACAGGAATTGGAAACCTTCCATATGAAGAGATTGGAAAAGTTGTGTTGTAAAAATTGGGCTTGAGTTGAGGGGGTTGTATCGAGCAGTTATATCAACAACTCATGGTGTGACGCACTCACAGGTTTCAACCAGGAACTGCACACCTCTTGCTGATAGATGAGATTTAGGCTAGGCTACACAAATATGTAACTGTTTGACACTACTTACCAAGAAAATGCACAGCTCTTGTAACAATTTCTGCAGGTGAAGGAGGGGGTGGATGTGTGTGTGTGGGTGAGAATGAGGGAGGGTGGACATGTGGGAGTGAGAGAGGGTAGACATGTGTGGGAGTGATAGAGAGTTGAAATGTACTCACCTAGTTATGCTTGTGGGGGGTTTAGCTCTGCCTCTTTGGTCCCACCTCTCAACTGTCAATAAACTTTTGTACAGTTGATTGACTGTACACCCCACCCAGCTAATGTATGGCTGGGTTGATTTTTATGTGGTTGTGGGAATTGGTGTGTGTAATGAGGGAGCCAAATCAGAGTTGTCTTTGCTTTAGTGTAGAGATGAGCATGCCATGTGTGTGTTGTGTAATGGTGTAATCATTTGAAATTATTAGTTGCTAAACCAAAACAATGTTATGGCAAAAATGTGATACATACATACATATATTTATATAAATGCATGTTTATGTAAAGGGTCGACTCGTCGCCTTTTATCTGTTTGGTACCTTCCAATCCCATACAAGTGGAAAACGGTGTAATAATAATGTATGTATAGTGTATCTTCATGTTCAGTTTTTATGAGTAATAATGTCAGTTGAAATACATATTTTGTTTAAATCCTGTAGAATATTTGCGATGGGGTGTTCGATGTCATCCCTGGAGGTTCTTTGGATTCCCTAACTGCCGAGGACCTACGACTTTTACTCAATGGTGTTGGAGACATCAACGTTGCCACTCTCATCTCTTATACCTCATTCAATAATGAAAGTGCCGAATCCAACGACCGTCTCAACAAGTTCAAGCGATGGCTATGGTCCATTGTGGAGAAAATGACCAATCAAGAAAAAGAAGACTTGGTAAGTAAATATATTAAAATTCATGGACATTAATATTGTGAGGTAATGGCATGCAGCAGCAGCATATCAAGGGCAGGGAAAGGGTAGGTAAGGGCAAGATGTTTCTCTGTGGAGAAGCTATCCGTATGGAAGTGAATAATAATCAAGCCTGACAATGTTGTAGTTGTAATTACAGTTCATCTTAAGTAATACAGTATCAATAACTGAGCAAACCAGGAGGCCTGGTCAGAGACCGGGCCGCGGGGACGGTTATCTTCAAACTCAACAGATAGTCAACACACAGGTAGGTAGAGCACAACTGTTGATATGTATAGGAAAAGGACGCATCAGGAATTATTTAACTTCTAGTGAGGATATTGGAGTAGAATATTATGTGCCTGCAGGCTGCTTCAAGTAACAGCCTGTTGGATAAGGTTATCACTAGTCATTATCAGGTTCCTTTTTAGTGATAATGAAAAAAATTGCTATCCTTTTCACTATTTTGACTTTGGGTATAGAAGAACTCCTGGAAACCTCTCCAGGTAAACACCAGGTAATTAGACGTTGCTGGCTCCACCTGTAGTTAGCAGAGTAGTAAATGGCATTTCTTGGGAATGTTATGGGTTGTTCATAGTTTTATATTAGTGAGCTGGTCCTACATTGGTGGCTTTAGTTGCTCACCACTTTTACCTTCCCTAGACAAGAACATTTGCAAAAACGTTTTTAAGATGGGAACAAGATCATATAGAGGTCAGGTTAGGGAGCATTTGAGTAGCCTTAACTTGAATTAATTATGGGGGCTATCTTGAGATGATTTCAGGGCTTTTTAGTGTCCCCACGACCCGGTCCTCGACCAAGCCTCCACCCTCAGGAAGCAGCCTGTGACAGCTGACTAACACCCAGGTACCTATTTTACTGCTAGGTAACAGATGCATAGGGTGAAAGAAACTCTGCCCATTGTTTCTCACCGGCGCCCGGGATCGAACCCAGGACCACAGGATCACAAGTCCAGTGTGCTGTCCGCTCGGCCGACAGGCTCCCTTAAAGCAGCTAGCTCCCAGAATTCCCACCTGGCAATAATGAGCTGTAAATGGCCGATGAGAAGTATAACTTAGCTACTGGGTGGATTGGTTCCTGTGTGTGTGTTGCATTGTTCCTTTACGTTCTGTGAACCTTGCAATTGTCCATTTTGCTTCACTCCCTTTCTGGGAGTTTGTTCCTTCGGTGAGTGAGATAACGAATCCCTTATCCCTGTGTGCCTCTGAAGAAGGCCTGGTTAAGACCTCTGGTGTCTGATATGCTATTAAGGAGACTCGGGGCTGATGTGACTTACAAGTGTGGAGCTATCATAGTGCTGTGACCTGACCCCCAGGGGAATTCGCGGTGGAAATAACCAACGCTTTGTTCATAGCTGCGTAAAATGAATCATCCTATAGTATTCAGTAATTTAGAGAAAATTAGCCTTTATTCATTTTGCATTAAAATTGTATTGTATAATAGTACTGGATACAATATCAAGAGTATTCTAATTATTGAGTTTAAGTCACCATCAGTGACGTCACGAATCAGATCTAACTTTTGAGGCGGAGTGACCGGCGGTCATAGGTCATCAGGGGTTGACAGGTCTACTATTTCTCAAAGTTTTAATAACCATTTTTGTGATCGGGAACAGCTCTGCCGTTAGATGTTTGTAATTTAATTCAGTAAAATAATTCAACCAGTCTGGATCAATTAAGTACAACAGAGTTTAATTGTTATAACTTAAACCTTGCTAGTAACTGGGTAGAACTTTGACTAGGCGGAAGGATACAATGTTCTGTCTGGGGGAGACCAGACAAGGAAAAGATCAGTGTGGAAACGGGAGCAGCTGGGATAAGAGGTCAAACATCTTACCTCTCCCCAGGACCAGCCAAAACATCTAGCTGGTCGCCCAAGGTATAGTTGCTATTGTTAAGTATAGAAATAGTCTCATTTGCCACTCAGGTCAAGTAGGGAGTGTTAAAGTGATAGGGAGTGAACATATTTAGATTTTGTTTTAGTTTTCTTTTAATAAATTAAATTCGTTATTAATGTGCATTTTATTGTTTCCATGTGTTTTATGTGTATACTTGTCCTGGTCACGTGGTCCACACGAGGCAGAGTTGCATTGGGCGCCGATTCTAACATCGAATCGGAATTATCATTACCGTGTAATTTATTCCACACTCAAGGTCATCGTTTATAGTGGGGATCAAGCCCCTAGGTTGATTAATTAGCGTGATCGATCCAGACCTCGATCATTGCTCTTGTATTACTGGTCTGGTGGTGGCAGCAGAGGTGACTCTAGGGTTTTGTTCAGAGCTTAGGTCACGTCATACTGGGTGTAGAATCCTAAGTCGGTCAATCGTCTTAGGACCACGTGGCGTGGAGTTGGCTTTGGTAAAAGTTTTGGAGTCCCTTGGTTTAGAAATAAAAGTAAGAATACGGGTAGAGGGAGTAGAAAGAAGGAAGTGAAGGAGAGGGACCCGAACCCGTGTTACAGTGCTACTAGGGAAAAAAAAGGAGCCACTATCCCCGCTACCTCCCTGAAAGACAATTTTCATTATATTCATTGCCGGTTTCTTGTTTTTGCAAACTTTCTGGATTATGTTCTTGCATCGAGGCACCTACTAAACTTCTTGGTTCTTGGTGCATCAAATACCATGTTAAGCTGAAGTTTAAACACACTTAATACTGTTTGCAGTGCAGTGTTTAATACTGTTAAGTTGGAAACTTGTTGAAAAGACCTTATTTCCAAAATGGTAAAATACTTCGGATTACAAAGTAGTAGCATAAGATTTCTGAGGTAAATATTAACTGTAAACTTTCAGAAATTTTCCATTTCCTCAATCCCAAAGCTTTGATTTTTTTTTTAATTTCATTTTCCTACCAGTTCATTGGAAGCCAAATAGAAGTAGCTAGACGACAAAATGATTCTTGAATGACCAGACCTTCACCATGTTGTTTAACACTTTGCCCGGCCTGGCGGGCCACCCACAGCGCACCACAAGCTAGGCCAGGCATTGCCCGTCAACGGACAACCACACTCCAATGTTTATACTCTTTACAGTCTTCTCACCTCAATTTTCATGCTACGTCGTTCATTTGGATATCGAATTGTTCGCAATATAAAGCTCTAAAGGGATATATGCATATAAGGTAAAATAGAGGAACTACAACTACCAATAAAATAAGATAAAATAGTCATATGAAGTTTGTTTTTTCATTGTTTACGTCATTATTCATTCCTAATGTTATTTGTTACATTATATCATTCGTTTGTGTTTCGTGCTTATAAAGGCAGTAACAAAAAATACCCGAGATAAAACGGGAACGGGAACATGGTTTTCATTCGAGGGTAGGGTGAGTGTGTGGCCACCCGCTGTGTTGGTGGCCACACACACAGCGGTGTAGTGATGGCACGCGAGGTATAGAGAGAACAGAAAGATGTTGGCGCGCATTTTAAAAGAAGTCCTATAATAATTGGACGATAAATGGATTTTTTTTTTACAAAATACAGTATGTTTAAATTTTGGACGACATTGTCGTCCTCCCACAAACTACGTGTATTGATTTTAGGACGACAATAACGTTATCCCGCAGTGAAAGTGTTAACTTGTACAACATCTTTAAAGACTTGATTTGTATGTTTGTTTTTATTTGCACAGTGTGTATAGAAACGCAATACCCGTAAAAATTTATGGTGCCTGTATACTAAATTATTTTCAGCTGTATGTGGGAAGCAGGTAGGTTCTTCCTTCTAAATTTGTGAGTGAAACTAAAATATGCAGGTCAAGTATGTGCGTCTGTAAGGAATTCTGCTTAAAGATACTCCACTACATAAAAAATCTTTGGCCATGCATTAGCATATGTGCTTTCTGCACAACCTCTTTGGCAAGTCTTCATTCAGACTTAGGAGAAATATGTCTTCCCGGAGGAGAGCTGCCCCACAATTTTGATCCTCACTCGAGTCCCAAACATAGCTGATATTTCAGGTTAGGTATTTCTCTTCATTCTTTCTCATGGTTCTCTTCCACAACATATGTTACATATTTTGTGTAATCATTTTGTCAATAATATATTGCCCATTTCTTCACCCTCACAGTTCCATATACCATTGACACATGCATTTATCTTCCACCTACTATAACTGTTATATATCAATTATATTGTAACTTACCTCTACAACAACATCTTTACCATATATATACAGTACTTCCTATTTTTATTTGTAGTGTACCTGGTTTTTTCTTTGACTAGAGAATTCTACAATTATTCAGTCTTCTACCAGGAAATACAGTACAGTACTTTATCAAAATTTTGCTGAAACAAAGTTTGAAGTCATCATGAGAGAACTTCAATGTAATGCAAGCAGTGGCAGACGAGCAGGCTTGCTGTGTAGGCTTGCAGGCTGGAAGCAGCAATTGTCTGGCTGGTCAGACAGTTACTAGGGAAGCCTAATGTCTTGTCAGGCTGTGAGAGTAGTAACAATGTGAACGTAAACTCACGTAGCCCATAAAATACTTTGTCAATTCCTAGGGCTAGATACTTTTCACCACAGCAAGTATGATGTGTGGTTCTTGTGAAGGCTAAATCATTCACAAGTTTAATTAGTAACGGTAATGCAGTACTGTATTCTGTTTCTTTCATGGCCATAGGACACTGCTAGAATGGGGCTACCTCCCTAAAAGTGTGGATTTCTACTAAATTGAGCATAGAGCTGTCATCAGGTTCCTTGTGAAGAAAGGTGAATACAAACAAAAATATATAGACAAATGATTAGTGTATTTATAGTGATGTTAACTTGAATCACTAAAAAAAAGGCGTAATGATCAGGTGAACTCGAGCATAAATTAGTCACTTTAGCGACTTCTTGAGTAAGCACTAATGATGTCATCACTAATGAAATCCAACACTACATAAATTTTAATTAGTTTTTTTTTTTTTTTTGAGAGAGAGAGAGAGAGAGAGAGAGAGAGAGAGAGAGAGAGAGAGAGAGAGAGAGAGAGAGAGAGAGAGAGAGAGAGAGAGAGAGAGAGAGAGAGAGAACCGGAATAGGAAGTTAAAGAAATTCATGATTGTGTATCTGATACAAATCAGCACAGGCAATGTTCCCATAGATATGTAAGGGTCCAATTTATCACCTTTAACCTCTCCTCCTGCCACTTTGTTTTTAATTCTGGAAATCGTTTAGGTGCATGTCTTTACACCACAGCAAATTCGAATTTTGGTCTTATTAAGGTTGTAAATAATTTCTTTAATATTTTACCATCCCTGTATTTAAAAGCAATTCTAAAGTTGGAATGCATAGCATGCACTCTTGCACAATGTTCTTTGTTTGGTACTTGGGTGAGGTTTTCTTCTGTCCAGAACCACCGCTAGATCTCTTATTCACATTAAATTCTATTTGCCAAGTGTTACTTCATACACTCATTTTATCCAGGTCTTCTTGTAGGGCATGAGAGTCGTCTTAAGTTTCTTGACATCCCTAGTACCTCACCATCATCCACAAACATGTTCATATAATTCTCTCTTCCTTCTGGTAAATTGCTTATACAGTATTGAGAATGAACATTACTGATGCTAAAACTGACCCCAGTGGCACTTCATTAGTAACACCTCTCCAGTTTGATACATAAAGATACAAATGATGTAGCAAGGGGGATCCGGGATACCCAGATTACAGCAGAACAAAGGGCAAAAGATTATAAAACAAGTAAGTACATAACAATTGTGTTGCAGTACAAGAGGTTTTTATCTGAATATATTTGCTAAAACAAGTAATTCAAAATAATAAATATTTGCTATTAATTTATTATTTTATAATAAATATATTTGCTATTTATATATAAATATATATTTATTTTATAATAAATATATTTATAACTATATTTATATTATATTAAATATATTTATAATAAATATATTTTATAATAAATATATATAAGAATTATATTTTTATAAATAAATACATTATATATTTATAATAAATATATAATGAATATATTTGCTAAAACAAGTAATTCAAAATATTAAATATTTGCTATTAATTTATTATTTTATAACAGGTATATTTCTGGACTGGTTCACCTGCTTTACCTGCATCTGAAGAAGGATTCCAGCCTATGCCATCAGTTGCAATCCGGCCGGCAGACGATTCGCACCTTCCCACAGCAAACACCTGCATCAGCCGTCTCTATATTCCTCTTTACTCGACACGTGCTATTTTACGCTCCAAGCTCCTCCTAGCTATTAAGACTAAAAATTTTGGCTTTGTTTGAGAACCATCTACAAATGTTTTTGACCTAAAAATAAGAAAGAATAATTTGTATTAATCATCCATGAAGGTATATTAAGAAAGAAGGAAAGTGTTTGGATACTGTGTGTATTGGTTCACAGGTGGGAGGGCACGGGATGAAGACGACGGTCCTTTGTCAGAATGTGAGCAGATGCTCTCGTAGGTGTGGAGACCGGCACGGCACGTGAGGGGTGTAGGTGTGGAGACCGGCACGGCACGTGAGGGGTGTAGGTGTGGAGACCGGCACGGCACGTGAGGGGTGTAGGTGTGGAGACCGGCACGGCACGTGAGGGGTGTAGGTGTGGAGACCGGCACGGCACGTGAGGGGTGTAGGTGTGGAGACCGGCACGGCACGTGAGGGGTGTAGGTGTGGAGACCGGCACGGCACGTGAGGGGTGTAGGTGTGGAGACCGGCACGGCACGTGAGGGGTGTAGGTGTGGAGACCGGCACGGCACGTGAGAGGTGTAGGTGTGGAGACCGGCACGGCACGTGTGGTGTTGCATCATGACTGGGAGTAGTGGTGGCTAACATTTGATAACATTTTAAGTGGTTTATTTGAGTTATATTTGCTTTGTAGAAGGTGAATAAATACAATTTCTTGGAATAATTAAAGACTGTAATAACCCTTGGAGGCAATAGAATGCTTATAAACCAAAATGTGGATAAAAGCTTGTATGAATGTATCCTGAGTATTTGTGAATAAAGTGGATGGTAGTATTCGATACACAGTTGGCATCTAAAATTGTCAGCTTATCATATCACAATGCCTTTATTTATAAGTATTTTCCATTCATGCTGCTGGAATTGGAACAATTGTGCTATAGCAAAATGAATAGATGTTCAGGCTTGGCATACCAAGGCAGTAAGTTATGGATCCTCAATACCAGCAGTTATTGGTATCTCTTCATATTTTAATGTACAAGGAATTTTTAATGACATAAGCATTACACTTTAATCCAGTAAAAGTACCGGAATACAGAAGACCCAGCCAACTTGGCCATGTAATAATCAAAAGTTTTATTTTACATGAAAAATTTGAATTTGATGTACATAAAATATGTACCAAAATGTATTCCGAGATAACACGAATGATGGATTTGCAGTCAAATACAGCAACAGTGTACTTTATATATAAGTAACCAATGAAATGCAGCAGTGATTAACTCTGAATTGAGGTGGCAGGAAATTCTTGATCAAATTACTTCAACAGATATACTGTACTATTAACAGTGACTGGTGTCCAAATATCATTGAAAAATGTGATACATGTGGACATACTTGAAATGGTAGCTGGTTACTGGAGCTGAGTGATCATCTGTTTTGGAGTGGTGCTCTTGGCTGTGGAGTTATTAGATACCTGGAGCATACCTGGAGAAGGTTTCGAGAATTCTTCTACTTCCCGAGCCCAGCCTGGGGCCAGGCTCGACGTGGAAGTCGAATACTTTGGAAGTCTGCACACGTGTTGAACAGAGACCTTGAATAATGTTCACAAACCAAAGTTCATAAGATTGTATTGCATCAGTGAATGTGGTATACCTTGCTGGTGAAGGTTGCACATGATGGAAAGACTTACCATGTGAACAAAATCAATAACTCCTGCACTGTGTGTGTGCCTGGTGAAAATATATGGCTATTTACTTGT